CTTCTCAGTATAGGCCCAAGGACCACCAAAGGGTGCCCACTTGTGGTCCACGGCCCAGTGGTTTAGAAACCCTGGTCTAGAAGATGTTTAGGTATTAAAATTTGGTCGCTGTTACTGCAATTCAGCCCTACAGCCCTTAGTTAACATATACAGTCTATACTCGTGTTAATCGCTGTATATAAAATCATTATGTTAAAGTTTAATGTGAAAGTGAAGGCTGTACATATTAACCTGGGATAAAATATAAATTCGAACTAGAATATCTACATGAATCATATAATCTATTGCTCAATAAAGTCTGAATTTTTTACTGCACTAGTCAAAAGCAGTTCATTACACAGTTTTATTTCAAAGGCTGAGATGCAACAATTTTGGAAAACAGCAAATATTACAATTTTGACAATCCACCTAAGATTTATTTGCTCATCTTTTATAACACCTGTATTCATATTAACAGCTTGCTGCATGTCAGAGACAACAGAGCAGTGAAAATAAGAGCTTGAATTAAGGAGCTGTAGCCAAACAAATTGAAAATGTGCACCCCTCACACAACCTCAGCACCCCTGAGGTTAATACTCGGTGGAGTTTGTGATCCTGACAGTTGCTGTGAGTCTCATAGAGATGCTGGCGCCTCTCCTGTGTGAACGCGCAGGTGTCTGTTGAGAGTCCCTCTGTTGAAGTAACTCCTCCCACATCGTGTGCAGTGAAACGGTTTCACATCTGTGTGAACGCGTTGATGTTTGTGAAGATTACCTAGCCGAGTAAAACTCCTCCCGCACTCGGAGCAGATATACGGCTTCTCTCCGGTGTGAATGCGCTGGTGCATGTGGAGGTAAGTCAGTCGAGTGAAGCTCTTCCCGCATTTCAAGCAGTTGTACGGCTTCTCTCCGGTGTGAACGCTCTGGTGCTGCTGGAGAGTGCTCTGCTGCGCAAAACTCTTCCCGCACTGCGCGCAGCCATACGGCTTCTCTCCCGTATGAGTGCGCTGGTGGTTCTTGAGAGTTCCACTGTCTGTAAAACTCATCCCACACTGTGAGCAGCAGAACAGCTTCTCCCCTGTGTGAATACGATGGTGGCGTTTCAGATGATTCTGTTGAGTGAAACTCTTCCCGCACTGCGAGCAGCGATACGGCCTCTCTCCGGTGTGAATGCGCTGGTGGTCTTGGAGATGACACTGTTGGCTAAAATTCTTCCCACACTCTGAGCAGTGGAGGGTTCTCTTCCTGCTCATCTTTTGTCTGCTGGTTTTTTTGTTAGGAAAACACCAGATGAGAGTTTTAATCTAAACTCCAAGACTTAGGAAGTCTCAGATACTTCTTATACTGATCTCCCCATCTGTCTGAGAAGATAAACTTGTACCATGTAGAAAGTGAACACACAGGAAAAGATGTGAAATAAGCTCACCGACCAAAAAGTTAGTCACCTGTGACTGAAATGTACCTGATCCAGCATGGCTGGTCCGCAGTGCACAAAGCAAGGTCCATGAACGCATGGCTGGTTGAGTTCGGTGTAGACAAACTTGACTGGCCCTGACCTCAACCCCATCCAACACCTTTGGGATGAACTAGAATGGAGATTGTGAGCCAGGCCCTCTCGTCCAACATCGGTGTCTGACCTCACAAACACTCTTCTGGATGAATGGGCAAAATGTCCCACAGACACTTCAAAATCTGTAGAAAGCTTCCCAAAAGAGCAGAAGCTGTTACAGCTGCAAAGGGGGAACAAACTCCATATTAATTAAAGATTTAGAATGGGATTCATAAGAACTCCTGTGGGTGCAATGTGTAGGTATCCCAATACTTTTGTCCATATAGAGTATGAATTTTGGCAGATAAATGATTATAAACTGAAGCCCATAAAGCCCCATGTAATGCTTAGACCGCGATAATCGTAGTTTGCGCCTACGTTTCTGTAATTTGTAGACGGTCCCTTAGCTCTCAAAGCGGTTACAGCAGCCCATAGACATCAACGCCTTTTCGGGATAATTAAAGACACATAATTCAAACAATAAATGCTATCAGTGATCAGTGAAGTCTGAACCTCTCTGTACCCACCGTTAGCAGAGCACTGAAGAAAGAGCAGAATGTGTGACTGTAGAAAAAAACCGCAGTAACGTGGCAAAACACAGCTTTATATCCGAAGCTTAAATCCTCACAAATTCATCTTATACTGTACTTTTGGACACTAAACCGCTACAAAAAGCGTTTATTTACATCTTATATGTCCTCAAACCTGTCGCCAACAAACTAAACCCCTGTACGTACCCAAACCAAGTCCGTGCGAGCAAGTGTCGAACAACAGTTCCGCCTTAAAGGGCAACTCCACCGAAGTTTCAAACAAATTCTACTTAAATGGTTAAGATGTAAACAAAGTTCATTCAGAGTGGTTTGGTTTGAAATGCTCTGTTCTAGAGAAACTTTCCGAGTCAGAATTGTTCATAGTGGTGGTGACAGGAACCTCCTCTAAAAGCTCCCTCACAGAATTTCAGTACATGAAATGCTTTATGGGAGTTTTGTGATAAAGTTTTGGCTTAAAACGTATTTTAATCATTCATGGCGGACGAGTACGTGCAGGGTTTTGTAAAACAAAATAGTCCCAAAAAACTTCAGATTTATTACTGATTTCCCATCATCAACCATCCATATAAAACTCAAAGGACACGTATCGGGTCACTGGTGGTTTTGGATAGTAAATATGCTGTAGTCATGGCGACTCCTGGTTCCTATCACCACCACTGTAAAGAAATCTGAACCATTTCACACCAAAGCAAGAGTCGGTTAACAACTCAAGCACCAAATTATGCAGAAAAAAATCTAAATATTGGTGGAATTGCCCTTTAATACCTTCGGGCCTGATGTAAGAGTAAACTATTTATCAGTTTGTAGCTCTTAAGGCACTAATTTATGTCTGTAATGGAACCTGTTTCAGGTCTACTTTAACTGCCTTGCTGAAAAACCCCCTTGAGAAACCAGTAAATGTTTCTGTTGGTTACTGATAGTTTTGTACTGTGTTTTTTGGCTTTTTTAATGGGTTGATATCAGAATGTAATGGATCATTATGGTTTAACAGGTGACTAGCGGCTGATTCTAAGCATATCTGATGGTTTCCTAATGAGATTTAAAGGTGTTCTATGGAAAAACAGTAAGCTAATTCCCATTAGAAAGCAAAACCATTAGGTTTTATTCCTTATGGTTTCTAATAGTCCTTATTTTTCAGCAGGGTGAGTAGCTCCTGTAACAGTAAACTAGTGTACTGTTAATTTCTCTACAATTAACTATTTCACATCAAACCACTCTGAATCTGCTTGTATCTCAATGACTGAATTGTTTAGAAATTTCAAAAAATTGGTGTAATTCCCCTTATTATATACAGGGATGATATTTTCTGGGAGCGTTTCAAAGCTATATTCATTATAGCGAAAGTAGTTTTATAAAGCAGGATTTCTCAGTAAAGCTGGATCACTAAAGCTGCCCAACATGAAGGTCAGTTTAGCTCTTTTCTTACTGGACAGGCTTCAGTCTGAGTTCAGACTGTCTTATTAACTGAGAAATTCAGCTTTTTAAAACATCCTCCAGGTTAACTACAGCACTACAACTGGAAAACAGTGTGACAACTCACCACCACCACCACCACCATCATCATCATCTTAGGTTACTGTTGGAGTTTTAATAAAATGTTTCCTTAAATCACTACAATAATCATTAAATGAGATATAATCATAAAGATAAAAGTGATTAATAAAAGAATATTAATTCTCTCACTAAGGATAGGCCGTGCTTTGCTTGTGTAAGGGAGTTTGGACATTGAGGAGTCCCCGAAGCGATAGAAGCGTCCAGAAGCCAGTAAGCATTGCTGACACAGTAAAAGATGAGGGCGAGCTGACCCTCAAAGAGCGAAGCAAGCTGATAAGATCCTGTAGAAACCAGTTTTTGGAGCCAGTTAATAAAGCAAGTTAAATTGATCGCCTTGAGAGGATGGAACGGCTTGGTACATGGTGGAAGTCATGTATGTTTGGAAATAAGGTTTACCAAGGAAAGTGCAGAATCAGGACATAATGGGGACTAAGAGGATGTGGTGTTATGTAAAAAGGAGGGGTGATAACTTCATCACCCCAAACAGGATATAAAAAAAGGATGTTTTGTGATGATCTTTGCATTGTGGTTGTCTGGGAACCATCTTGCCACCTTGCCACTTACTAGCTGTTTACTTTGTACCCAACGCTGGTTGGACTGTCAAATCGATATTGCACACACTCACGCAAACGTCTACAGTTACACAGATTAATGTTTAGAGTCGAGCAAAGCGACATGTTGTTCACCAGAGAGAAAATCTAAGCAAAAAACTCAAATATTCTGCCAGCATACAAGCCAAAACACGTTAGAATTAGCTGCACAGCTAACAAATAGACAAATACTACTCATTGCGGCCCTCTAAACATGTTAGAGCACCAAGTTAGACGTTTTTTTTATTTTTCATAAGCCCCATCATGTCTCAGTGAATTAATTTACTGCTTTCTTTTTTGTTTACATTTATTTGCCTCAACCCAACACACCCGCTTCACATTCTGCACCATAAATTGACAGAAATGTAACAACCGTGGCAAATTATGATAATCTAAAATAATTGAGATGAGACAATTACGTAGTAATTGTGACAGGCCTAGGAATGACCCCAATTCATTTACGCAAACATTTCATGTCATGTGACCTGCCTGGTGATCTTCCCCTGAACTTGTGGTAAGTAGCTACCCATCTACCACTGGTCTGACAAATGTTCCTATGTTATTACACGACATGTTAAATGCTGAGCTTTTGCACATGTAGCCTTTCCCATGAATAGTTTCCAGCATTATGAGCTTTTGCTTTATTCCTGCACTGTGTTTAAAGTAATGACTGACAGAGACTCTGCTGTAACAAACTGGCCAATATTAAACAAATATTTCCACATTTTGTCACCCTTATTAATAAGCTAAAAAAAGTCAAAGACACCAAAAGAGTACGTAAAATATCACTGACTTATAATTACAGATAAACAGTATAGTACCACCAAACTTCATACACAACATTGCATTATTCAGTAAGTCAGTACATTGATTTATATATGAGGGATGATATAAATGTTGGCCTGTGCTGATCAGGGGTAACGTTCATGTTGGCCTGTGCTGATGAGGGATAATATTAATGTTGGCCTGCGCTGATGAGGGATAATATTAATGTTGGCCTGTGCTGATGAGGGGTAGCGTTCATGTTGGCCTGTGCTGATGAGGGGTAACGCTCATGTTGGCCTGTGCTGATGAGGGGTAACGTTCATGTTGGCCTGTGCTGATGAGGGGTAACGTTCATGTTGGCCCGCGCTGATGAGGGGTAACGCTCATCTTGGCCCGCGCTGATGAGGGGTAACGCTCATCTTGGCCTGCGCTGATGAGGGGTAGCGTTCATGTTGGCCTGTGCTGATGAGGGGTAACGTTCATGTTGGCCTGTGCTGATGAGGGGTAGCGTTCATGTTGGCCTGTGCTGATGAGGGGTAGCGTTCATGTTGGCCTGTGCTGATGAGGGGTAGCGTTCATGTTGGCCTGTGCTGATGAGGGGTAGCGTTCATGTTGGCCTGTGCTGATGAGGGGTAACGTTGATGTTGGCCTGCGCTGGTGAGGGGTAACGTTCATGTTGGCCTGCGCTGATGAGGGGTAGCGTTCATGTTGGCCTGCGCTGATGAGGGGTAGCGTTCATGTTGGCCTGCGCTGATGAGGGGTAGCGTTCATGTTGGCCTGCACTGATGAGGGGTAACGTTCATGTTGGCCTGCAATGATGGAGGTTAACGTTCATGTTGGCCTGCGCTGATGAGGGGTAACGTTCATATTGGCCTGTGCTGATGAGGGGTAACGTTCATATTGGCCTGCGCTGATGAGGGGTAACGTTCATATTGGCCTGCGCTGATGAGGGGTAACGTTCATGTTGGCCTGTGTTGATGGGGGTTAACGTTCATATTGGTCTGTGCTGATTAGGGTAACATTCATGTTGGCCTGTGCTAATGAAGGATAATGCCTATATCAGCCAATGTTCATATTGGCCTGTGCTGATGAGGGATAACATCCACATTGGCCTGTACTAATGAAAGATAAGGTCCATATTGGCCTGTGCTAATGGGGACTAACGTTCATACTGGCCTGTGCTAATGGGGACTAACGTTCATATTGGCCTGTGCTGATGAGGGATAACGTCCATATTGGCCTGTACTAATGAAAGATAAGGTCCATATTGGCCTGTGCTAATGGGGACTAACGTTCATATTGGCCTGTGCTGATGAGGGATAACGTCCATATTGGCCTGTACTAATGAAAGATAAGGTCCATATTGGCCTGTGCTAATGGGGACTAACGTTCATATTGGCCTGTGCTGATGAGGGATAAAATCCAAATTGGCCTGTACTAATGAAAGATAAGGTCCATATTGGCCTGTGCTAATGGGGACTAACGTTTATGTTGGCCTGTGCTGATGAGGGATAATGTTTGTGTTGACCTGTGCTGATGAAAGGATAACGTTCATGTTGGCCTGTGCTGATGAGGAATAACACCCATAGTGGCCTGTGCTGATGAGGGGTAATATCACATTGGCCTGTGCTGATGAAGGGTAACATTTATGTTGGTATGCACAACTGGGACCAAGAGGTGGCCCAGAGAGCTTCAAAATGAGAAGAGAACATGTAATAGAGAACGTAATCCAGTTAGTTCATAATTATCCTGTATCTTTACATACATTAAAAAAATACTGTCCAATGAAAAAAAAAATGATGAAATGCTTTTTACTTAATTGAAATGTCACCTCCACATTGATAAAATATTTTACATCAATATTCTTATCTCCAAAAGTAAGCAAACAAAGAGAAAATTTGTTGTATTCATGTGGAAATGATGTAGACATTCAAACTCAGTGGAGTGATGTGATGAGGCCAAGGTGCAAAATACAAGGTCCTTTTGGACCCCCTGAATGTCTCAAAATCAAAATTATGGGGGTCCCTGACAATAAACATATTCTAACATTATGCTGTTATTGTTTCACTGCTTCACCACACTCGGGAAGCTTCCGTCTTTGGTATCCTTAACTAACTACAGATGCAGCACTGATCAGCCTCAGAGTGGTGCTGTAGCAAGCAGTTGGTCCATCATAGCCTAGAAACCGTAACTATGCTTGAGATACCTCTAAACAACTTTGCAATATGTTGTAGCATATTTGTAAATATGAAACCTCACCCAGTTTCCCAGGAGACTGGTGAAAATAATAAATTATTATGCATTTCTAAAACTAAAACACAAGATGTATAAGATCTCAGTTAATGTGTGGAACATTACCAGACTAGAAAAGAACGTTTACAGAAGAAGAACTGTCAAACCAAACGTTCTGTTGCCAATGTAGCATCGGCGCCACTAGGGTGAGTGTGCAGCCAGCTAACACTGGATTAGCAAGACAACATTGGACCCCTCCCCGAATACCAGGGGGTATTTCGCACCCTGATGAGGCAACTAAACCTGCAAGTCTCATGTGGACACTAGCATCTCTCCTGTGTGACTGCGCAGGTGTGCTGTCAGAGTGCTTCTTTTACAAAAACACTTCCCACACCCCGAGCAGACGTACGGTTTTTCCCCTGTGTGAGTGCGCTGGTGTTTCTTTAACTTATCCAAGTCAATAAAATTCTTCCCACACTGTAAACAGATGTACGGCTTCTCTCCGGTGTGAATATGAAGGTGACGCTGAAGATTATTCTGTCGAGCAAAACTCTTCCCACACTGCGAACAGCAATACGGCTTCTCTCCGGTGTGAATGCGCTGGTGGTCTCGGAGATGACACTGACGGACAAAACGCATGCCGCACTCCGAGCAGCAGTACGGCTTCTCTCCCGTGTGAGTGCGAAGGTGACGCTGATGATTACTCTGATGAGCAAAACTCTTCCCGCACTGCGAACAGCGATACGGCTTCTCTTCTGCATGAATGCGCTGGTGGTTCTTCAGAATTCCTCTGTCGATAAAGCTCTTCCCACATTGCGTACAAGGATACGGTTTCTCTCCCGTGTGAATGCGGTGGTGTATCTGGAGGTTTCTGAGTCGAGCAAAGCTCTTCCCACACTGCGAACAGAAATACGGCTTCTCTCCCGTGTGAACGCGCTGGTGCGCTGCGAGCGTACTACTGTCAGGAAAACTGCTGCCGCACTCCGAGCAGACACATGGTTTTTCCCCTGTGTGAGTGCGCTGGTGTTTTTTAAAGTTACCCAAGTCACTAAAACTCTTCTCGCACTGTAAGCAGCAGTACGGCTTCTCTCCCGTGTGAGTGCGACAGTGATGCTGAAGCTTAGTCAGTCGAGCAAAACTCTTCCCACACTGTGAACAGCGATACGGCTTCTCTCCAGTGTGGACGCGTTGGTGAGTCCTCAGAGTACCTTGGTCTGTAAAAGTCTTTCCACATTCTGAACAGACACATGGTTTGTCCCCTGTGTGAGTGCGCTGGTGCTTCTTTAAGCTACCCAAGTCACTAAAACTCTTTGTGCACTCCGAGCAGCAATGCGGCTTCTCTCCCGTGTGAATACGAAAGTGCCGCTGAAGCTTACTCAGTCGAGCGAAACTCTTCCCACACTGCGAACAGGGATACGGTTTCTCTCCGGTGTGAATGCGCAGGTGGTCCCGGAGGTGACACTGGCGGATAAAACTCTTCCCGCACTCTGAGCAGATGTACGGCTTCTCTCCCACGTGAGTGCGATAGTGACGCTGAAGATTGTTCTGTCGAGCAAAACTCTGCCCACACTGCGAACAGCGATACGGCTTCTCTCCGGTGTGAATGCGCTGGTGATCTCGGAGGTGACACTGACGGACAAAACGCGTCCCACACTCCAAGCAGCAGTACGGCTTCTCTCCCGTGTGAGTACGAAGGTGACGCTGATAGTTACTCTGATGAGCAAAACCCTTCCCGCACTGCGAACAGCGATACGGCTTCTCTCCAGTGTGGATGCGCTGGTGGTCTTGGAGATGACACTGATGACTAAAACTCTTCCCGCACTCTGAGCAGTGGAGGTTTCGCTCCTTGCCCATCTTTTTCTGGACGTGTAGATGAGGTGTTGGTGAGAAATGTAGCAGAGGATGTTTCCTGAACTTACTGATTTGTACCACTTGTGACGACCTTCTCATCCGTTTGTGGAGATATATTTGAGGACACAGCAGAGAAGAGTTGAAACAGGACAGCATTCATTTCTGGAGAAAAGAACAGAAGAAAAATTAGAAACAAACACATCAAATAAAGCAAAACTAGATCTTAAATTCCCCAGCTGTTTATTTGAACCCAGGTATGAAAGTGCAGCTCCAATGTTGCTCAGTTCAAATTTATTCACTCGGCAGCTCCAGTTTCTAATAAAAATGGGAAGTTCAATTACTTTCATTTTAAGTGAACCGTCTTTTATCAAATCTAACATTCTACTCAACAGTAGCAATATCACATCAGAAATAGCACTGCTTTCCAGGTATTTTGACTTATTTGCTGGAGTTTCGGGTAGGCACCCCTGCTACTGGCCACCTTGAAACAAAAAATTGGTAATCTAAGCTGTACATAAATGAGAGCACTTTACTCACTTAAATTATAATTTTTTTCATGAGAGATTTATGTGTAGATTAATGTCCAAGAATTGTTAGACTTTCAAAAAAAAGCTTTTTTTTTCCAATACTGACGTTTATTGTTTATTTTGATAACGCCTCGTAGACTGCCTGGGTTTTCCGTAACTAATTTTTTCCACCTAAAACAGCATACTGTGTTTACAATAACATTAAGTTTGTCCAGCATGGTCAGCCTTACTCTGCATACATAACACTTCACCTCAGAGCAAAGAAAGCTAAATAACCAGTAAGACTTCTACACCGAGACAAATATTTGTCGCAAAACAGAAAGTGTTGTGTGTTTCTGTTTTGTACACGCAGAATTGCAACATTGTTAGCAATACTTAAATATTTTTTGAATGTGATTTTTTTTGCAAGAATAAATATCGGTGCTGGCTGGGGAGGTAAAGACTCAAGGCTCAGCCCTGTTCATCACAGAGTTTCTTTAGAATATCATTCCATGTACTTTTTTCTTAAAATTAACCTGTAAATTTGCTATTTCTCGTTTATTTTTTTAATTTTAGAATTTGCACATCAACAAAATGTGCAGTGATTCAGCAAAATTGATAGGCATGCCTCTCTCTCTCTCTGTGAGTTTGAGGAGTAGGTGACTGTGTCCCTGTGTAACATTATAAGGTTAGAAGCTGATTAAAAATATTCCAGGTCAGGCAACGCCCCCGAGAATAAACTTTAAACGCTCTACAAATTACTAATTTCCTCAAAGCAACTGGTGAAGAAATAGAGAGGAAATATGCAATACAAACCAGCGACTGAAATTGGCATGGACAAAGCTAGGTGGCGTTACGTTACCGTACCAAGATTAATAAGTCAGTCAATCAATTTGGCAGATGTTATTACATACTAAGGCAATTCTAAAACATCCGACTGCCCATGAGTTGCATTGTACCTGCCTAAAAACCCAATGCTGTCCATTGGCAGGTCGTGCTTGGACCCCTATAATCACAGCTTGCACAAGCACGTAATTTGTAGACAGTCCCTTAGCTCTCGTTACAAACAGAGTGTTTTCTCGATTAAAAAGGCACACATTTCTAACGAAAACTAAACCGATGCTTGGTTGTTTTGGCTTATCAGTGATGAATTAACCTTTCTGTACTTACCGTCAGAAGAACACAGAGGAAAATCCGAATCATTTGAAGAGGAATCTGAACCGCAGTACCGCAGCATTCACTCCATAAACCAAACTACAGATTAAACTCCCTTAATTTCAGCGACGAGTCTATAAAATACAACGTAAACCTCAGTAGGTTCCAGTCAGGGGCTTAAATCTGACCAAACTCGGCAAGTGGTCCAGTTTCGGACTATAAATCGGCACAAAAAGCGTTTATTTACATCTCAGATTCCTTCAAACCCGCCTACAAACTACAGCGCTGTACGTGCACAAATTATGTCCGTGCAAACAAGTATCACACAATCGTTCCGTCCTAAATACTCACAAGTCCTGGAGGCCCACTGTCCAGCACATTTTAGTGCTTTTCCTGCTTCAACACACCCAATTTTAACTCGATGATGGACAGTTAATGAGCTAATTATTTGGATCAGGTGTGTTGGAAGCAGAGAAAACACTAAAAAGGCCAGGTCAGTGGGCCTCCACAATCAGGATTGAGAAACAGTGCTGTGGTCAGTCCGGAGGGTGTTTTAGAAAACAGGGTTTCTGAGTAAAGCTGAATAGCATAAGTCTGAAGGGAAGATCTGCTAAGACTGTCTCTTAGCTCTTCTTCTATTAAATAGGCTTTGCTTTGGAGTCAAAATAACTGAAATTCTGCTGTATGAATATTTCACAGTGCAGGATTTCTCAGTTAACAAGCTGATAATTAAAAATTGTTGAATGTCAAGGGGATTCCTACCGGGCAGGCCTCACTTATCCATGAGATCTATGATGTAGCTGATGGAAATGGCAATTACCCCTAAAAATATCAATGAAGAATTTTCCCATCTGAGCAGATATACTATTGTCGCTACTTTTAAAAAATATTTGGAACACAAAATAAACATTCCACAGCAATTAAACCAGGACATTTTAATGAAAAACAAGTGTTCCCATCAGACTGTAAATCACACTTTACATATCAAGTTTAATGCTTACAGAGTGACTGAGCAGAACTGAAATATTAATACCACACTCAGAATAATAAAGGGTATCCCAAAAAAATTATATTATTTTGTAGTCTAATAACAGCCAATTCTCCCTCAAATGATCTCAAATGTTTTAAAAAATGTGTAAAAACTATGTGTGTGTTAGAATATGCTCGAACACAGTCAAACAAGAGTGTGCAGCAGCATTTTCGAGAAAATTCAATAAAAACACATCATCTGGAAAGCAGATTTGGACACGGCACAAAAAAATTCAAAGAGGAAGGCTGTCTGTGGGCAGAGGGGTCTGGATGACCACCAGTATCAGAAAATATTACATTTGTGAAGCTGTGAAATCTGTTATAAAATCTACATCCCTCTGAATTTCTTGTTCGAATTTTGAAAAATAAATCTTGTATTGTTCAACATGAGGCCTGTTTAATTTTGTTTGACTATGACATGTAGTTACTCAGATGATGTGACTGTTAACAAAAGCAGCAAGCTGGACAGAGCTTCACAGTGCAGTGACCCAAAGCATACTCTGGGGAAAAAAAACACAACTTTTTTAATGCAAAAGTGGAACACTCTGCAGTGGCCAAGTCCTCAATCCAATCAAGCATGCATTTTACGTACTGAAGGCAAACTGAAGGTAAAACGCCCCAAAAACAAGCAGGAGGTGAAGAGAGCTGCAGTGTAGGCCTGGCAGGTCATCACTAGAAAAGAAACTGAGTGTCTGGTGATGTCTGTGGGTTCCAGATGTCAAGCAGTCACTGACTGCAAAGGATTTGCAACCAAGTATTAAAAATGGCAGTTTTATTAATGTTTGTTAGTTTGTCCAGTTACTCTTGAGCCCCTAAAATGAGGGGCACTATGTGTGAAAATGAATGTAATTCATACATCATTTACTCGGATGAAAATACTCTTGAATAATAGCTGACCCCTTACAAAAAGAAGTTTATTCAAGTGTGGTATTAGTATACTTCTTTATGCTTTCAGTTTACTTTTATCTACTTTCAGAGATATACTAGACAAAAATATACCTAAGTATACTTGGCTTATACTTACAAGTATGCAGAAAGGTTTAAGTATATTCAGCCTATATTTGTACTCGATCTTTTGATGGAGATGTACTTAAGAAACATATAAGAAAGCATAAAGTAACAGGGTGGTATGGTGGGTAGCACTGTTGCCTCACAGTATGGTGGGTAGCACTGTTGCCTCACAGTATGGTGGGTAGCACTGTTGCCTCACAGTAAGAAGGGCCTGGATTCGGTTCGCCAGCTGGGTGACGAGGGTTCTTTCTGTGTGGAGTTTGCATGTTCTCTCAGTGTCTGTGTAGGTTTTCTCCCACAGTTCAAAGACATGCAGTCAGGTCATGGTTTTATATATAAGTTTATATATATATATATATATATATATATATATATATATATATATATAGTCCCAAGAAGTACTGAAGTAGTACCCTTACAAGTTTACTACTAGTACATTGATATTAGTTTGATTATACTTACTACATAAAGTATACTTGGGAAATACACCAAACTGTTTCTCTGCATACTTCGTTAACCCCCTTTTACCCTGTTCTTCAGTGGTCAGGACCCCCATGGACCCTCACAGAGCAGGTACTATTTGGGTGGTGGATCATTCTCAGCACTGCAGTAACACTGGCATGGTGGTGGTGTGTTAGTGTGTGTTGCGCTGGTCTGAGTAGATTAGACACAGCAGTGCTGCTGGAGTTTTTAAACACTGTGATATTTTTGGTTGGTGGACTATTCTCAGTCCAGCAGTGACACTGAGGTGAGAATAGTAAGTCCTTTTCACAATTCTATGTTCCTGTTTCCATCAGTTTCACTGATTGTGTGATTGAGATTTGTTTGTGAAAATATTTATTAATTTATTTTAATTTTCTCATATGGCAAGTTTTGTAAAAGTGGGAAAAATGTGTTTCCCAGGTTATGTCATTTAACTGCTCAGGTCATGAACAACAAAGAAGAAATGCTGTGACTTCCCATATGGAAAAAAATATATTCCAAATGGTTTGTAATGTACTTTGCTTTAACCATGTACGTATGCAGTAAGACACTCACACACAATGTATATCAAACAAACAAGATATCAAATCATAACTGCATTTTCACAGTGACTCAATAACTACAACACTTGCTTGGTTCTCGAAATATTACAATTTTTTCTTGAAATAGTACGACTTTTTTTCTCCAAGTATTAACATTTTTTCTCCAAATATTAAAATTTTTTTTCTCAAAATAGTACAACTATATTCTTAATATATTACAACTTTATTCTTGAAATATTACAAC